TGATTCATAAACATAAGAGCGAGGTTTCGGAAGAGGGACCACCACAGTTCCTAACAATACCGCGTTGTTTGCGTGGTCCCCAGTCCCGGGCCAGAGGCTCAAAGTTGTCCCAAGCTCGCCGAACAAGACCTAGTAGGGGGGGATGCTCATATCACCCTCCCTATTAGGATCTACAGAGTCTTTTACTTGAAAAAAAAAAAAAAAACATGGCAACAAGAAAGCAAGTGACAAACAGATGCTGCAGATCCTCAACCACACAACCTGACATATTGGACAAAAAGGCGTATCTTTGCACAAACGATGAAAAACCATATATGCCGTAGGGAGAGCATGTGACGTTCAACCTCACGCCCTGTTCCGTGTTCCGGTCGGAGTGATAAATTGTGCGGAATAGGTGTAGCGGAACTCTGGTTGGCCTGTAAGACCAGCCCCTTGGCCTGTTCTCACACAGGCCTGTGTTGTATTCGGGGTAGTCCAGTCCAATCCAGGCCGGTACCTCTGTCGGTACCAGCCAGTCCAGTCCAGTCCAGTCCAGTCAGTCTGCTGGGGTATACCCCAGCCGGAGTCCGTATTTTGGGTCATTCTACATTCGCACAGTTTGGAGTACGTGCGTTGGAGTCCGTGTGGGAGCTGCGCTGTGCCATCTTGCTCCACCCTCATCCTCCATCTCCATCTCTATCCCAGGCAGAGCACCTCACCCGGTGGGTTCGCCACACTGGTATCGGAGCGGGAACGTTCCCCGCTCCTACCCGCCACACTGCACAGTGGGGAAACTGTGTAAAACCGACAGCGTTTTTTTTGGGTGAATTTTTGGTCAAATTTGGTGTTTTCGGTGGAAAACAGCGGAAAAAGGTGATGCAACGCGCACCAGCGAGATAGAACCACACGACGCATGCGCGCAAGCGCCGGGCCGCCGCACACGCCATGTGCCCATGCTGCCCCGCCCCGCCTTACTCTTGGATTACTCATCATCAAGATCCGGGATGCATGCTGCTGACAGGGGTTTGAACCTGGGCAGCTGTTGGCCATGCGCGTGTGTAGCTGCTGCCATAACACACTAGCCACAGTGTGTGTATGGCTGTGTACTGCAGCACGCTGCTGTTGAAGAAGTGCTAGGTTAGCTATTTACACCCCCCCCCCCCCGTCCCCCCCTCCCCCCCCCCCCGGCTGCTGCCGCCTGCGCACGTGGCCATCTGCAGTGCTACGTGGCAGCTTGCTGTGGACCTGAAGACCCCCCTGATCAGGGGGCTGCTCTACACCGGTGAGGTACTGCTGCCTGGGGCCGATCAAGATCTCAGCCCCCTCTCTCCTCCAGCTGGCTTGCTGCAGTGAAGGCCAAGACCCTCCTGGTCTTGGTATACCTTGTGCCCTTGGAGACACCAAGGGCCAGGTATCACCTCCCTTTTCCCTCTCTCTACTAATCCACTCTCCCTTCCTCTTCTCTCTCATCTTACTCACCCCCTCTACTTCTTCCTCTTCTACCTCACTCACTTCCCTCTAATCACTCTCACTACTCATACCCTCTCCCCACCATTTTTTCAACTTTCTCCTTCTCTCCTTTTCATTTCACTCCTCAACCCCTTCTTTTCCCCCACCTTCCACTGCTTCTTTACCCTCCTCTCCCCCAACTACAGCCCCATCATCCCCCCACCTGCCACTTCCATCTTTTTCTCTCTCTCACCTATTTCTCTCTTCCTTCTTCATTTTTTCATCCCCTTCCCTCCCCAACTTCGAATTTTTCTGTTTTTTTTTCTTCTTTTTGTCTTTCTTTTAATTTAAAATTTCCTACTTCTTCAAAAATTTGACTTCACTTCTTCTCTCTACTTCCTTTCTCATTTTTTGATTTATATTCTTTTTATTCATATTTATTCTGAAATTTTGATATATATATATATATATATATATATATCGTCAAATAGAACTGGCCGGTAAACCGTAGGCAGAGAGGGAGAAGAGGACAACAAACGAGGGGCTGTGACAAACTGTTTCGTCGAAGTTTCACCGACTCATCAGGAGGCTGAACCCTCAACAGTCTGTAGAATCCCCTCACTGATTACACTGTAAGTGATAATCCACCTTAACCAAAATCAAAGTAGATATATATATCTATATATATATATATATATTTTGTGGCATCTCTAGATCTGGTAGGACTTAGTTATTTCTGCTCTCGGCGCATATTTTTTTGTAGGACTTAGTTATTTCCGCTCTTGGCGCATATTTTTTACCCCGTCGAGGAAACGAAGTGTTGCCAGTACACGCTGGTCCGTCTCTGGTGGCGCTTTTCCGGGTGCCCCGATTCTCCCTCCCCTTCGCACGACCGCGGCGCCACTTGGCTCTCTCCCTTATGGGATGCCCCGCGCCACTCGTGCGTCTACTTCCCCCACTTCTCCTACTACTCCCCGCTCGATCTATGTCCGCCGTCTTGAGACCGAGCTTGCCCAAATCCGGACCGACCTCGCCCTCTTACGCCTTCAACCACCCCTACCATCAAAGGTGGCCATGTCTTCGGGCGCACCCCCTTCTTCCTCTACTCTTCCTTTCATGCAAGCTTGTTTTCCCCGCCTTGCACCCCCTCCACCTCCATTCTACCTCCTTCCTACTCCATCGGTTGCTGCGACCTTTTCTACCCCAGCTCCCTCGCAACCTGGCGCTGTTGCCCCCACTGCTCCCCTATGTGGACTGGGCATACAGTCCGCTGCGCCACCTCCTCCAGGACCTGCGCCGACTTCCTCAGCCGTAGCACATGTCTCTGCTCCCCGATCTCCTCACCGCCAAAACGGTGGCGCACCACTCGTCCGCTTGACAGACATTGCCTTGTGAATGGTAAGGGTACCGCGTGTCTCGGTGGCTGCAATCTGCCACCCGCATGCTCCAGCTCATGGGCGTCCCGCCCGACATGTGGGTGGCTCACCTCTCCACGCGCCTGCGTGGAGGTCCCTTCAACACCTGGGATGATTTCTTCACTCACTCCCTTCCTGAGGGTCAAACCCCGACCTTCATGGATTTCCAGTCGTTCCTCGAGGATTGCTTCGGAGCCCGACACTACATGACTGACGCCTTCGAGCGTGTTGTCAGTACACGCTGGTCCGTCTCTGGTGGCGCTGCCGACTTGGACCGCCATATCCAGGTCTTTTAGGATGCCCGCCTCATTTGCGATGTGGCGTTCCTCCCAGAGGATTCCCTCATCGATCGTTTCTTGGCCAGTCTTCCCCTTGAGTACCGCTCCGAGTTATGGCGGTATGACTTCACATCGGCCCCGCAGGCTTACGAGGCCGCCATGGCCCATCAGCGGATGCGGGCCGATCTTCAACCCACTTCCTCCTCCCAGCCTCATCATACTGGTTACGCTCCCTCCTCCTCTCATGACACTTTCCAGCGCCGTTCCCCTTTCCGCGCTCGTCCTCGTCGTTTCGCACAGCAGGGTTGCCACTTCTCGCGCCGCTTCAGCGCGCTCGAGTATGGTGAGGAGGACGTTGTTGCCCTGCTGTCACCTGAGGGGGACCATGGCGACGACCTCGACCTTTGCGAGGCCATCCACTACCACCTGGAGGACTCTACCCTCCCTATAGTCGGGCACCTCCAGCTCGCCCTCTCCACCCTCTCCCGGGTACGCAACCGCTCTGGTCACGCAGGGGCGTCGCCCCCGAGGTCCCTCAGTCGGACCTCCCTCAGGGATTTGTCCCTCCTCGCGGTGTCCATTCCACTGAGGAGCGCACGACCATTTTGGGTCGGCGTGGGTGTTTGTACTGTCGCCTGGACGGTCATACCTCCTCGTGGTGCCCTTACACCGCCGCCCTCAATCGCCACTACGCTGAGCTCTCTCGCCAGCGTCGTGCTCAGTTTCCCCCCGATGCCTTGCATCCCTGCGAGGCCTCCTAGCCACGGTGTAGTGTACATCTGTGCTCTCCTGAGTAGTCAGCTTTTCGACATCTCAGTAGCGGTTTGCCCCTCTTGCTACTAGAGTTGAGGTATCGCAGGACGCGACAGAGTGTACTCAGACCTCTGTCGCAGTACCGTTTGTGCCTCCACAGACCACCATCTCCCCTCCCACCTCTCCACGACTACCGACGCGTCGAGCCACTCGCTCAGCCCGTTGCAGCGAGCAGCTTGCGACTCGCGAGGACGTTGTGTCCTCCCTTATGGACTTCATCATGCTCCAGGCTCGTCAGGAGCGACTCACCCTCCATGTTGTTGCACTGCGTTGCCTTCTCGCCATCGTCTCTGATCCTGATCACACCCTCTCGATCATTCCAGTACGACTGGGGACCTCCACGAGGGTGTACTCAGCGCTGTGGGATTCCGGTTCTCAAGGCGACTTCATTCACCCACGTGTGGTGAAAGAAGCCCAGTTACCCAATCCGACTCCCATCTTCGTCACCCTAGGGGATGAAAAAACCCAACGCTTCTTCAATCAGACGGTCACCGACCTCCCTTTCTTCCTCACTCTGGAGCCGACTGATCGTCCCCTTGCGTCTCGTTGTCACCGCTCCTCTTTATATTTCGATGTGATGGAGACGGGGTACGATTTCATTCTCGGTACTCTGTGGTCTCGTAGGTTTCGTAGCACCGAGACCGATTGGGCGACCAACACTCTCGTTCTCAGAACGAAGTGTGGACAAACATATCGCGTAACTTTCATAGGTACCACTGCGAAACCACGCCCCGACCCACCTCCCTCGGAGCCTTCCGTGCCCACACCATCTCCTACTATCACCGTCACCTCGCCTCGACAGTTTGCTCACTTCATCCGACAAGACGACGTCACCTTCTTTACGGTGAATGTTACGGATCGTTTGCATTATGATCCACCCTGTCCCAACGCCGAGCTCATCTCTCTGGAGCCAGATCCTCCTATCTCTATAGCTCCCATCTCTACTTTCATCCCTCCGTCGTCCACCGAGTTCACCCTTCCGTTGCGCGTTGACGCTGACGCTGAGGAACTCACACACTATACGGCCGACTTAGAGCCTGCAGTTCATGACCTCCTTCAAGAGTACCACGACGTTTTTTCATCGTCGTTCTCGTATGCCGACATCCCACCGCATGCGTGATGTCGAGCACTCCATCCAACTTGTGCATGACTATCGTGTTCACCACCAGGCACCCTACAAACTCCTCGCGGGGTGCACCCATCCTCTTTGCTCGCAAAGTGGATGAAACTCTCTGTCTCTGCATCGACTATCGCGGGCTCAACCGCTACACGGTTAAGAACAACTACCCCATGCCTCGTTCCGACGAGCTGTTCGACCGCCTGACAGGCAACCGCTTCTTTACGAAGATTGATCTTCGTAGCCGTTACCATCAGATCCGCGTCGTTGCAGCGGACCAGCCGAAGATAGCGTTCCGATCGCGCTTCGGCCACAGTGACTACGAGCTTACGGTGATGCCATTCGGCCTCACCAATGCACCTGCTACCTTCCAGAGGGCGACTAATGACATCTTCAGGGACATCCTGGAGCAGTACATTCTCGTCTTCCTCGACGATATCTTGATCTACAGTCGTACCCTTGAGGAGCATCTCAGACACCTCCGCGGCGTTTTTGATCGCTTGCGCAGTCACGGCTTCTATGCCAAGCTGAGCAAGTGCCGCTTTGCCCAGCACAAAGTGGATTTCTTAGGACACTACGTGTCTAACCAGGATCTCCACATGGACGACGCAAATATCACTTGTAATAGTCTGCTATTACACAGTGGTCCATCCCCAGATCTGCCAAGCAACTTTGCAGCTTCCAAGACCTCACTAGCTACTATAGTAATTTCATTTAGGGATACGCTAGGTATTCCTACGTCCTTACCTCCACCCTCCTCCGGAAGAACCCGCCATGGTCTTGGACACCCCTCCACGAGGACGCCTTCCTCGCCCTCAAGAAGGCGGTGACATGTGCACCGGTTGTCCACCTACCGGATTTTGATCGCCCTTTTATCCTTACCACGGATGCGTCAAAATTTGTTGTAGGAGCAGTGTTTTATCAGATTTTTCCCTCGTCTCCTAATTCCTCTCATCCTCGCATCCTTCGCTTCCCACCCCTTACCCCTACCACCGCTTCCCTCCTTACGCCTACTCGTCTCGCTACTGACGAGCCTTCTCTTGACTACTCTCCTTCCATCGTCGAGGACGACACTATCGAGTCTCGCTCAGGTGATTGTTCGATAACCTTCTACTCACCTCAGCTCCTGCCCACCGAGATAAACAACACTCGCAACAGTTTATGCCACTCGGCATTGGCGTCACTACCTACACGGGGCACCATTCATGGTGCGCACGGACAACTCTGTTGTCCAGGCTTTTCTGACAAAGCCGAAGCTCACTCCTCGACAGGCTCGCCCGTGGCGCGACCTATCCGAGTTTAGTTTCATCACTGAGCACATCAAGGGTGAGACCAATCGGGTCGCAGATGCCTTATCCCGGTTCCCTGACCATAAGCTGGAGCAAATCCAGCTCGCTGCCATCTCGGTCACCACCGTCCACCACTCGGTGACCGATGAGTTTCGCACTCAGTACCGCCACTGCCCCGACTATCGCAACATCCATGTGACCCTTCGGAGTGGCATGCCCGTCTCGAACTACACTCTCGGGGACAACGGTCTTGTGTACTGGCACGGTTCACAGTGCACCAGAGAGCCTCGTATTCGTGTTCCCTCCACTGGACCGCTATGTGTCCAGGCAGTAGCAGAGTCCTATGACCAAGCAGCCGCCAATCATATGGGCTTCCACAAGACATTGGCTCGTGTGAGCCGCATGTACGTCTTGCTGAAGCGCAAGGACTTTGTGACGGACTACGTCGTAGAGTGTCCCACCTGTCAGCTATGAAACACCCACGGCCACCACAGGCTGCCGCGGCCCACATCGGCTGAGGGGAGAGGGGGTTGGGGGTCGGGGTTGCGGATTGGAGTTTCGAAAATCTGACCCTACCTCCTTGGAAAAAAAAAGTTAAAATTTTTTTTTTCGGGGGGGCGTTTTTGGTGTGTGGAAAAAAAAAAAAAAAAAATAGAAAAAAAATAAATACTGGTTGCTTTACTGGTTTTTGATTGATTGATTGATTGATTGATTGGTTGATTGATTGATTGATTGATTGATTGATTGATTGATTGATCGATCGATCGATCGATTGGTTGGTTGGTTGGTTGGTTGATTGATTGATTGATTGATTGATCGATCGATTGGTTGGTTGGTTGATTGATTGATTGATTGATTGATTGATTGATTGATTGATTGATTGATTGATTGATTGGTGCGGGAGGTCCTCACAACACTCCCCTCGACACACACACACACACACACACACACACACACACACACACACCTGTCTCTTATACACATCTAGATGTGTATAAGAGACAGGACTCACCCTCCATGTTGTTGCACTGCGTTGCCT